TCCAGTCCTGCCTAACATGGTAACTGAAAACTCACAAGAGATTCACCTAATTCAGGAGCTCCCAAATCCCCAACCCACAGAAACCATGCTCCATAGTAAATGTTTATTTTACTTTAAAGTGTTGAGTTTAAAGCCTTCTGTTTCATGGCAATAGGTAATTACCACCAAGTTGATAAGTAGGGGTTCGTAACTCCAGGTTTGAGTTGATGCAAGTGTGTCTCTACAATTGTTCTTTTCTGTGTTTAACGGTGTAGCCCATCCCCCCGTCTGTAACAGCTGGTTTCATTTTGATTCTGCAACTCTTAATAGCCACGAATGCCACCTGTATCCTCAATAAACTTTATTTAGACACAAATAGACAACAGAAAATACATACACAGATACAGTTATCTTTTTCTCTATAGAATAAACACACATCACAGGGGATTTAAAAAGTAGGAGCGTTGAACGTAAGAAAATAATGCGAAGTCCTTGTTCACTCACACTTGAAACAGACACATATTTCAGAGAAAGACAGAAATGGAACATCCCGACAACAGGGTTCACATTTAGTCTGTAACAGCACACAGGTGTTGGGGAGGTAATCAAAGGAGTCAGGGATCCAGTGACAGAATGCTCACAACACTAGTAGGACTATTTAAACCAAAGACAGAATCGGGAGGATTCCATACCCCTGCGCAGATGCTCGGCAAGCTGTCAGTTAGGTCGTAAAGCAGCTTGGCAGAAACGCTAGCTTAGCTTCCATCTTGCAGCTTGAAGGTCTGAATAACCTCTACCTTTGTGCCCACATCACAGAGTTTTACAGAGACACACCAAGGATGCCAGAACTGTCCACATACACGCTGGTTTAGAGACTCGGGGTACAGAACATTGACATTGGGTCTAAGATAGGGCTTCTGAAAGGGAAGGGAACAACAGCCCAGAGACAAACACACACTTTACAAGTACTGCATCCATTGGCAGCATTTCCCATCATGCTTCCTGTGGTCCCTTCCCATGGGGGAGCCACCAGCATTTGTGTCCCCATCATGTACAGGGTGGGATGGATGTCTCTTGAAGGTCTGTTAGCCTCTAAAGTCATAAATGTGACCACCTGGTCATCTCTGTGCCTAGGGCATGCTGCCATGGAACCACCCCACTTATTCCTGATCCTGAGTAAGCCTCGGGACTCCACACCATCTTCACGCTTAAAATTGGGGTTCCCTAGGCAACCTCTGTATTTTAGTAAAAAATCGTTTCCACTGTACCCTTCGTGTGTCCTCTTCCTAATGTGACAAATCCAGATGAGATGAAGTTATGGAGATCTGGTCCTCCACTTCGGTAAGCATCCTTCCCATAATGCCCTGCAAGAAGATGGGCAGAATTACCTGGCACATCCATGACAGCAACACAGAAGACAATCACAGCTCCATCTTGCCCAACAATGGTGGTGTGGTTATGGTCAAACCGGCAATGACCACAAGATCAAATATATATATATATATATGCACATATATATATATTACTGAGTATATATTGCTATATAGAGAGATATATATGTACATCCATTATACATTTACACCTTATATGTGTATATATATTGCTATATGACAAAGATTAATGCTACATTGAAAGTAGAGGAAGAAAGGGAGACATGTGATTTGACTGTGGCATTTCTGAGTGACCACAAAGTACACTAGAATGTTACTTTATAGATGTTCCTCAACTTACAGTGGTGTTGCACCCTGGTCAACCCATGGCAAGTTGAAACATCTGAAGTTGAAAATGCCTGCTGAACACTGTAACCTGGCTATACAGCACAACAGAGTGTCAGCTGTTTCTGCTGTGACCACAGCTGCCAGGCTTCTATTGCTCATGGATACTATCCAGCATCACCAGAGAAGACCACACCAAATCTTGGAAGCCCAAAAAGAGGTTAAAAAATCCAAATGTAAAAGTACAGCTACTGACTGTGTACTGAATTTGTACCATCATGAAGTCCAACATGCCAGACAGTGAGTGAACGTCAGGACCTCTATACTTGTCCCACCATTCTTTCTTAAAGTTAAGAGGTGTCAAGGAAAGAATGCATTAAATACGATAATATGGCTGTAAAATTTCAAGCCAGTGCATTACAAAAAGATATGAAAAGGTTGAAAGAAAACACACAGATAGATGCTGGAAGGATAGCTCAGTGGTTAAGAGCACTTGTCTGCAGGCACACAGCTCATAACCATCTAGAATTTCAGAGGATCCAACACCCTCTCCTGGTCTCTGTGGCCATTGTATCCATGTAGTGTGTAGACATACATACAAGCAAAACACCCATATATGTAAAAATAATAAATAAATAAAATCTTCAAAAAAATAAACCCCACTTTAAAAATAGAAGACACACAGATACTGGAGAAAATTGGAGCATGGGTGTTTCTTCTGCCTCCTTTCAACTTTTCTGTATTTCCCAAGTTCTTTTCTATGTTTGCTAGATTATTTTTCCTTGTTGCCTTGTTTCTCTGTTTTTTTCCCTTCCAGAGCATGGAGGAATGGGCCCAATGGCACCTTGTGTGTGTGTGTGTGTGTGTGTGTGTGTGTGTGTGTGTGTGTGTGTGTGTATGTGTATCTATGAATCTTGCACAACCTGTGGGATCACAACTAGCAACAGCTGAGCTGACAGGTGAAATGGTGGCCATAAAACACTGGCAACATCTTTATGATTTCCTTTCTTGACTCACTGCAATAAAACTATATCCCCTAACTGGCAAAATACAGACATCTTCATGTGCATTGAGGTAAGAAAAAGACAAGGGCAGGTTGAGGACTATGGAAGAAGAAATTTAGAGTGGAAGAAGTAAATATTCTACTTCTGACATTCAAGTAGGAATCTATGATGTGTTTGAAACACAAGCATTGTAAACACTGAGAAGCAAGAACCCTTCCCAGTACCATCCTCAATGCATACACCCAAGTATGGAGGCAAGTCACTATTTATTCAGACTGCCACAGTGTGGATTGTACATCGAACTTGCAATATATAAAGTTAAAAGGCTTCTGAAAAATGTGATATTAAATATGGTAACAGCATTATAAAATTTCAGGTAAGTGCATTAAAAAAAGCAGAAAATGATTGAGAGAAAATGCACAAGTACCTCGTCAGCTGACAGCTAATTATCTCTCTTTTCAACTATTCATTATTTTGTAAGCTGTTTTTTCTATAGTGAACACACAATTCAATAATACAAACACAAAGATAAATATCTAGAAAAATACACCCCATGTCAACAAGACAAAATTAATATTTCTTAGCAAGCCACGTTCTAGAGCCCTCAACACAGGGTAACTTGAGAATCATGTGGAACTTTGAAAAGTTCAGATGGTCAGACAAACTTTGAACATTCTGACTTGGTCAATGAAGCAGGAGTATTTTAAACAAGTTCTTTTCGTTTCCAATGAAGGCCCAGTCACAGATAGAAACAAACCAAGACGGGGGATTCACGTGAGCAGGGAAGGTCACTGACCTCTTGCTGGGGTCCCTTTAAGTGCTATTTATATTTAGGGCTCCAGCACTCTTTCCTCTGGAAGGTGAAGTCTGTTCCCAGTTCCTTCCTCATCTCAATTCCCAAATCTGAGTGTGTATTAGAATACTAGAAACACTTAAAATAGATGGACTCAGCAGACGTGAGACAGGACTCAAGAGTTTGCAATTCTATCAAGGTCCCTGGGTCAGGGATAACAAAGTCATGAGAATCCTGCCACCGATTCCCTTGACTCCTAAACAGATTACATCATTCATTCTTCTGCTTTTCACAAGGGAGGTTCTTGTTGGAAAATTGTGCAAACAATTCATAGCTTCATGGCAATGTCAGCCCTAAACTAAAGGCTTCTGCCCAAATCCCAAGCTTTGTGACAGCTGCTAGCAGCTGGAGAAATCATCTTTCTCAAGAGGAGAAGAAATACATGGAAGGCTACCAACCAAAGGAGCACCAGGACCCCTCTTTTGTAACAAGAACAATTGTTGTTCCCCCACCCCATTGTAGAAAGGATGAAAAGGAAGCAACAATCCAAAGCCCTCATAAATGTGGACCTCATTAATTCAGAACCTGTGATGCATCCTGTAGAATTTGGGCTGGTTTATTTTTGTGCTCCTTATAAATAAAAATTTTGATAAACAAATCAATACTAAGGAAGATGGAACATAAAACAGAGCCTGTGCTGTTTACAAATCATTCTTATCTGTCAGACGAACAAGGTCCCTCAGGACTAAGCATTACTCTAGTGCTCTGGAGCTTTGCTTGTCTGAAAAGGAACTGAAGTTTCTGGATCACTTACTGCAGGCCAGGCAGAGGAATGGAGACCCTGCAAGCATGGCTTTTGAGACAACAGTAGATAACATTTTATAGTATTTTACAGTTTACACAGATTTCTTTTTGCATATACTACTTTTTTAACATTTTAGTCAATACCAACTGCATGTCATTCCTTATGTTTATTATTTTAATATTATCTCCCAAATTTATTGGTTGAAAAACTGAGGTCAGCGGGCAAAAAGCTGGGAGATGCCTACAGTCCTCTGACTGTAAATACTACATGCATTCCATTACGGATAGCTGGCTTTGCCAACACCTCATGAGGACCCAAGTTCCTAGAACTGGTCAGGAGTGGATCTTAAATCCCACCCAGGTCTGCTGCTTTCCAAGTCCAAAATCTTTCTGCATCCCTCACCCCAGTGGCCTCAGAGGTACAGCTGTGACTATTCTCCAAGACTGTACCCAAGAAATATAGTGGGGATGTAAGGAGGAAAATTCTAGGTGGTAATATCCAAGTTCATAGGAATTGATTCTGAGTGGGAGAAAAAAAGTAAACAGTGTTGATAGTTAATGAGCATTGTACATGATAAAAGAAGCCTGGGGTCAATCAAGTTTGCAAAATTTTGAGTTAAACAAATTGAAAAGCTTTGTGAAAACCAATTCTACAGATTCCTTTTTTTTTTTTTTTTTTTTTTTTTTTTGTCTGTCTTCAAACAGGGTCTCATGGTGGATCCTAGTTTGGCCTCAAAGTTCCTAGACTCCCACATCATCCTACCAATTGCTAGAAATAAAGGTGTGTATCACCATCCCAAATCCTCTGTGATCTTCAAAGGCATCTCTAAGGACAGTTTTCTGGAAATCACCCTATGAAATTCAGACGGAAATCACAGTGACTGCTTCAACCTTGGTTTGCTCGATGGTCCTCAAACTTGAGCAAGCACCCAACTCCCCAGGACTCCACACAGATCACCGGGCTCCTAGGTGGGAAGTGAGTCCTGATAATTGTATTTCTGACAAGTTCTTGAGTGTGATGGCTAATCCTCACAGCCAACTAGACTGTATTTGGAATCATCCTAAAGACTGGTGAGACATGCCTCTGGGTGTTACAAGGAGGATGTGTCCAGAGAGCATTAACTTACAGGAAAGACTCACCCTGAGTGAGGGTGGTTCCATGCTGTGTAGGCTGAGCATCTGGAGAGACTAGATGGAGTGAAAGGAGAAAGCGAGCGGAGCTGCACTGCCCTCTCCTTCCTGGCCCACCATGATGTGCACAGAGCTTCTCTGTCATGCTTCACCCACCATGGAAGGAATCTTCTAGACAATGAGCTGAATTAAACACTTCCTCTTTGAAGTTGTTTCTGTCAGGTGTCTGGTTATAGCACAAAAAGAGCAGCCAAACACCAGGCAAAGCAGATGATACACTATGCCTCAATGACTATATCTTGTGATTATTCTGTTGGGACTAGTGACAGGTCAGTCTTCAGCTGGACCCAGAGACAAGTTCAGAATGACATAAAAGCCTCTGCACCAATAAGAGAAGAAGGGCTGGTAAAAAAGAGAAGCCCCACGCAGGTGGACAATCAGAAAAGAGGAGTCAATGTCTCTTCTGTGTCATGATGATGCACCGAGCTGGTGGACGGGTGATAACAAAGATATGAGCAGGTATCACCAATTTCATAGGATGTCACTCAAACAACCAATCCTCCCCTCCATCCTGTAGAAACAGCTGTCAATCTCTGCCTATGTGTCAACTACCAGAGCCAAGGGACAAGGGAGCGTAGGCTGTCTCTGGGCCAACTGGAATTACAGAGAAGCAATTGTGAATGTATCAGGGCTGTAAATGGAAGTAAGCAAGAACTTGGTGATGTATGCTGGCATAGAAGCTCGAGAGTCCCCATGTCACAGGACAGAAAATCATACAGTCCAAGCCAGGAGCAAGGTGACTCCAAGCTTCGGAGCATGCATTCCACCACCTGCTGAATGCAACAGGGTGGAAGAGCATTGAGATGACATCTCGACCTCAGGTGCTACCACCCGAGCCCTCCTCTGACAGCTCTCTACAAAGCACTGGAGTTTGGTTCCACCTCAGTCTCTCTCCAGGTTGTCTTGACTTCCTGTCAGAATTCCATGGCCTTCCCAAATCTCTTTAGGAAGCACAAGTCAGAGGCAGTACAAAGGAGAAACTATCACCAGGCAGAGGGGACATTAAAGCAGAGAGGTCCTAGAGTGGGCTTCTGGACCTGAGCCGTGCTGTTGGCTCTGAAAAGAAAAGACTAGAAGGATGTGTTCCTACAAAGGAGAGTTGTGGCAAGAAACAGAAGGTGAAAATGGGATAGTATCCAAATGGTGATATCTATGAGACTCAATAAAATTCTGCATCTGTGAAACTGCATCAGCAGCCATGAGACAGAAACAAGCCAATGCAGACTGGTGGTGGCCTGCTGCATCCCTGGACCGCAGACTGGATGGAGAGGGAAATTGGTGATGGAGCATCCTAGGAGAGATTCGTGCTGCACGCTAAGCGAGAAGGACAAAGAGACAAACTCTGGTAGGACACCGCAGACACTCTAGGACTCGAAATCCATTTCAAATAAGACTCCCTGAGGAGGGACAGAAGGGACAGTTCAGAAGCAATAATTAAAAGTTAATTGTTTGCTGTTTTCCTGAGCAGATGGAAGACTTCAGTCTTTAAATCCAGAGAAAGAATCAAGTCTTCAACTATCTATTAGAAGGTATCAATATCTAAATATAGTCTGATGGAATGCCATTTAAAATTTAAGGAAAAGAAAGTTCAAAACAACCTCCTAAAACATGAAATCTATAGAAAGTGAAGTCATCCTCTCAATAATGGTGGGGAGACTGACAAGATGGCTCAGTAGTTTAAGGGCATTTACGGAGGAGCAGGGTTTGGCTCCCAGCACTCACAAGCACCTGCACCTTCAGCTCCAGGGGATCCTACACCCTCCTCTGGCCTCCACAGACACCTGTACTCACATACACATATAAACACATACATACAATTTTTGTTTTTAAAAATTATTCAGGACTCACTCCTTTGTTCTTGGGACAACATACTGGCAGAGGCCCATGTTCACCTAGAACTCAACTGACACTTCATTTCAAACCCATCTAAGCCAAAGGGACATAAAAATGGTCCCCATTTCCTTTGAGGAAGTTAAATGTGTTAATATACATAGTCCATATTACACAGCCTTTAGTGTTAGGCCTTTTTAAGAATTTGGTAATATTTTGGAATAAAGACCTTTTGGCTTCCTTTGCCCACTTCAAAATTCACTGGAAATAATGAAAGGAAGAGGAAGTAATAAAATTAGTCAAAAACATGCAGCTTTTTTTTTTATTAAATATAGATGGAGCAGTTGGAAAAATATCCCACAGATAAAAGCACATATAAAGATACATAGAGAAATCAATTCAAAGTTGACTAAGAACCTAAATATACAACATCAATCCTAAAAATTGTTAGGAGCAAATATAGGGTAATGTATATAGGATTATAAACTAGAAAAGAAATTATAGAAAAAACTTTAATCATGATACACCAAAAGCAATCATAAAACTATATATTCAAGACTAGTAAATACATGCGTATTAATATCAAGATAACATAAATATCTTCAAAGCAATAAAAGAGAAAACAATCCAAATTGGAAAAACCAAATAAAAAATGAATAGGCAACTTACAGAGGTGAAAACCCAATGAGCCAATACACATAAAGTAGTTTTCAGTCCCGCAAGTAATCAGGAAAATTCAAATTAAAACTCTAATGAAGGAGCATTTCACACCCAGTAGACTGGTAAACATATAAATGCCCAAGACTTCTGACTTGAGACCTAATGGAAGGATAATCAGTAAAATTGTCTTGAGAAGACCTGTGGCAGCGGCTGATAGAGTTGAGTATGGCTACTATAGAATCAGTGACTTTTTGTAGTTGTCCACCCTAGACCAACCTTCATGAGCTTATGAGAGGCTAAGCATAAGTGAGTTCAGTGCAAGAGTGTTTGTAATTGAGACAAACAGGGGTTCTACAATCCTACCCAGAAAAAAAAGTGATAAATCATGGTGTAGTCTTCAAATGTAATTCTGCAACAGTGCAAAGTGAAATGTAATGAGGGGAAGTGAACTGACACTTTAAATGTCAACATGGATGATCTCAGCTATAATGCTGAGCACACAAAGCAAACTGAAGAAAAACAGGGCGGCAGGATCGAGAAGGAGTTTTGAAATATGCAATATAATGTTTGATATTGTTCGAGGACATGGGCATGCATAATGTTATACAAACATGAAGACATTCAACACAATTTTCAATATATATTTCAAGGTAACAGTTACTTCTGCGGTAAGAATGTGAAAGTAGCTGAGAAAGTTGGGAGGAGCTGATCCTGTGCTCTGTTTCTTACACCGGGAAGCTGGAGATGTGTTTGACCATTAAATGATTCTGTTTTGTTTATTTATTTGTTCATTTGGTTGAGATAGGGTCATCTCCCAGGATGACCAAAATTTGGGATCTTCCTGTTTCAGCCCCCCCCCCAATGTAGAACTGAAGATTATGCTACTATGTCCAGCTAGATGGTTCTTTTCTCCAGTTATCTTCGTGGTGTATGTTTATGTTTAGTTGTTTGAGGACATAACTGCTCCAAGGTATGGTTGAGGTTTTTTTGTAGGTATAAGGGAGAGTATAGCCAGGCACATCTGGAAGAGTCCAGAGCAGAGAGAGAAAGCAGTACACTGAGCATGGCCTGGACTGGGCCATGAGAGCAAAGAGGAGGGAGGAGAGTGGAAGAGGAAGAGACAACCAGGAGAGAGGGGATCATAAGAGGAATATAAAAAGAGTGGATAGCCAAAATAGCAGGGTTATATGGAATGGAGAAGGTGGGGGAGGGAAGCCCATTAGCTAGAGAAATTTCGGGTACAGGGCGGGATGAGAAGCCCTGAGAAGAACCAGGACGCCAGCATGAACTCTGTAACAGGTCCTTGCGATTCTGAGTAAGCCTGGAAGCCAGCATCAACTTCTGTGGACTAATAGATACCACAGACAGCCATTTGTCCAGGGTTTCTTTTGAACCTGACACCCTGTAAATAATTTCTTATTTTATTTGCTGATAGATGTAATAAGATTATAGGTACTGTGTAGATGAATGGATAGATACATAATAGATAAAAGGGACAGAGACAGGTGTTGGCTGAATAGACAGTTTGATGGTAGATAGAATTATTAGTTTGCTTGGTTAAACTATTCTTAGTCGAGAATTTCATACGTTGTCAATTTTTTTTTCAAGAACAAAGATAACAGAGAGTCTCCAGTTTTAAGACTACCCATAAGCACCTGCTGGGAAATAATCTGCCAACAAAAGGCAAGCCACAGGATTTCTGAAACTGTAGCTGTGTGTGTTTCTAATCTTCAACCAGCCTTGGAATCCTAAAATTCCCTAAGGAAAGACTGGTAAAGCAGACTGCACAGTTTTAAACATTTGCAGAATTATCCTTATGGACAGCAGTAGGGCTAAAGGGCGCTGAGCCACCCTGGTGAAGCTGGTGAACAAACAGCAAAGAAAGTGAGGATGGAATAAACCAGAGAGCAGCCACAGACACAGAGTGAGAGCTCCAGCTTTGGAGGCTGCTTGCAATGCAGAGCATGCGCTTAGAGCTCCCATGGAACGGAGCTCTCAGGAGCCTGCGAGACAGCTGGAAGGACACCGAAGGCCAGAGTCCCAGACACACACACAAACCTGAAACTCCTCTGTGTAAAAATATGCCCAAGACCACAGAGGGAGCACATATAAAACCCCAGCAGGAGACTGTACTGCCCAGGATAAAGGGCCAGCCCTGGCTTACACACAGCTGAAGCATATCACTGACACACCAAGTGCAAATGTGTACATCAACTAGAAACAGACAATTGCCCCCACTTGCTGCTGACCCCACATGAGAAAGCAAGCTAAATCATTTTAAAGGCCAATGGACATATAAAACTAGCTAACCTTAACTCTTAATTAAGCAAATGTAAATAAAAATATGACACATTTTTTGTTTTTGTTTTTGTTTTTTTTTATTTTGGTTTCTGTTTTGTTTTGACTTGTTTTGGAGACAAGGTCTCTCTACATAGCCCTGGCTGTCCTGGAACTCGATATATAGACCAGGCTGGCCTTGAACTCACAGAGATCTGCTGGCCTCTGTCTCCCAAATGCTGGGATTAAAGATGTGCACCACCAGGCTCAGCCTTATAATGTACCTTTAAAAGAAAACTAAACAATTTCACTAAACCTAAGAATTCCATGACACGAGATGTCAAGGGAGTTACTTCATAGAACAATACCTACTCGGCTTGTCACCCAGCTGCTGGGAATTTTTCCTACTTACTGGCTTTCCAATTTTTCCACAAGTTGGAACCAGCATAAACAGCACAGGGTTGACTGCAGAATTTTTGCCAGTGAATAACAACTATGAAAAGACTGAGGCAGAGCAGTATGTACCAATGGCAAAGATTTCCAAGGCACAGGGAAAAGTGAACGAGGAGGAGAAGGAAGAGGAAGAAGGTGAAGAGGAGGAAGAAGTGGGAGAGACTGCCACAGTGAGGCGCAAAACAAAGTCTCAATATGGCCCCTTTTATATAGAGAATAATTAGAAGTTATACAATGAGAATATCAGCAGGCCCATTGCAAGGAAGATGTTTTATGCAAGCAACATATTTTTCTGGTAATAAACTTGCTTACAACATTCATTCCTTTGGGAGAGGGCCTGGGATGAAAGGAAGGAGATGCTTAACTTTGATTTTTTACTAACTTACTGTTTGAATTTTTAAACCCGTGCATGTTCTCTGCTTACTTTTCACAATATTTATAGAGCATATGAGAACCAGGAAGAGGGGTTAGGCTCTGTATTTTCCCCTCTTCTTTAACAATAAAAAATAAAAATCCCCAATCCAAGGCATTCTATAAACAGAAGGTAGCCCAGGAAGCCAGCCACTTTTCTGTGGGTAAATGACAGACACTGACGCCCACCTCAGAGGAAGCTGGTGGGGACTGAACGCAGTGATGCGTATCAAGGACTTCCGCAGATGCCCCACACTAATAATCCCTCCAGAAATGGTCTTGGCTCTTGTATTAAGCCCACTCCTCTCCCTTTTCCATGTAGGGAGCTTCACACTGACCTTGAACCAGAAAGAGGTCCAGTCACAAAGAGATAGAGAGCCCCGGCTTTGGCATCCAGCCTGAGGGCTCCCCCTCCCCCTCCCCCTGCCAGTGGACCTCTGGAGTTCCTCCATTTCCCATGAGCCTCAGCCTAGCTCTATAAGGGAGAGGCTAGAAACCAAGAGACTGAGCTTCCTCAGGTAGTCACTTTCTGATGAGCAAACCAGGGGAATTCCAATCTGGTTCTAACAAGGTAAACTGAAGGAAGATTGTTCTATTTGCCTGTGGATTATTTCTAGCTTAAAAATCTCTAACAGGGAACTATGTGAAATGCTCTATTTATCTCATGTGACAATTCTGCTTCATGCTCACACTAACCTATGGTGACCTTGTACTCCAGCACCCACAAAGAAGCACCTCTACTGTGAAAAACCCCCATCCAAGGTCTTCCTTCTGCCTAGGCTGTATGTAACCTTGGGAGATGACAAGGAGCATGACCAGACACCTGTCCCTGTACCTCCATGAAGGTGAGGTATCCACAGCTGTGAGGACTCTGAATAAACCCTCGACTGCAGGACACACTCATGGACAGAGAAGGAAGTATACAAGGCCAGAGCAGTAAGCAGGGAGTAGTCTCAAGGTCACAGAAAGTCTTGGGTTCAATCTTATCAGGATGGAACCCTTCATCCTATAGTGCAGTCCTGGGAAGATCTCATCAGATATGGTGGGGGAGGGGCCAAGGTTCTAATACCCAGCTTGATAACCACCCAACAAGGGATCATCCTCCAGAAAGAAACTCACATATATCAGCTCAAATAAATGCTTCCTAGTCACCAGTTTTATCAGTAAAGATACAAAACCCAAATAAACAAAAACATAAATATGCTTTTAATAAGCATCTCAAGCTGTGTCAAAAGACAAAGACAGAGCAGAGCATGGTCAAGAGCAAATTCTAGGTCAATTTTATCCACTGTGACAGGAGATTTTACCAGTGTCTCTTGAATGTTATATATTCTTAGGGATAAATTTTGTGGGTTGGGAAGGGGTGGGAGTTGTTAATGTATTACACAGTCTAGCTAAGTATGGTAGTACAATCTTAATTATTCAACAGATTGGGGCAGGAGAACTACAAGTTCAAGGCCAGCTTGGGCAATAGAGCAAGTTCCAGGTAACACAGGCAACTTGGTAAAGACTGTGTCATTGGAGATGTAGATTACCCTAACAGATACAAGGCTTTTGCTCAACCTTTACCACTACAGAATGGGACATAAGAGAAAAGAAAAAGAATAAAAATAAAATGTGCAAAAAAAAAAAAACTTTAGAAGTCATACCTTTTGTGTATCCTAAGTATTTACCAAGGCAAAGAGTGGGAGGACTGTTTGGAGGTGGTAATATCAACTTTTAGAAATTTGAGGAGGTCTAAAACTTTTATCTAGTTCCTGCCTTTAAGGCAGAATCAGAGGACTCAGAAGCTGAACTAAAACTAAGGTGTGTCTGAGGTCACTTTTTCTAGGCTCTGTATTGATGGATGAGAAAATTGGTGTTGGGAGGGTTGTCAGCCCTAAGTCATGGAGATTAGACTGCTGGCCTCTGCCTTCTGAGACCAGCACTCTTCCCAATGCCCCTACACAGCCTACAGCCTACCCTGTGAGGGAGGAAATGACACTAAAGCTTATTTCTACTCCAGGGGACCCCAGTGCACCATTTATTTTTCTCTTCAGTTATATGTTGGCTGCGATCCCCTTGGAAAATAGCCCAGCACAACCAAATCCCCGCCTTTGACTGCAATCAGAATCTCAGAGCTGTCTCATTGTCTTAAGCAGGACTCTGGCCAAGAGCAGTCCTGAAGAAGACCAGCAGAGGACGTGGAGAATGCAGGAGCTCTCTGCAGGGAGAACAGCTCTTTCTTTAACCGCTCCAAATATCTTGCAAGGTCAAGGAGTTTAGGGTAAACCTCAGAGCTCAACTAAGAATTGAGTGAATTGAAGAGGCCTCTCTTGTTATCATCTGCTGATAGGCAGTTTCCTAGTCCCAGGGAGACTAAGTCCTGTTTTCACCTCTTTCTACAAAACTACAGTGCTTCCTACAAGTATATCCAAATTAATGGGCTTAGTGAGCACATCCTGAGAAACTGCCACCACTTTGTGCAATTCGGACCCTGTGCCATGGTGCTAAAGCATTGGAAGAAAGCACCTCTGATGGTCTACAGGAAAAATCGTACTGTTTTTCTCTGTTTCACCGATGTGGAAATGGTCTTGGAGAGGTGAAATAGTTATCAAAGTCAGAATGGCTACTCAGTAATTTAGGACAGAGGCATGGCTCCCTCCACTGAGGGCTCCGGTCATTTACCATGGTTCCAGGGAAGCTAGGCCTGGGGTGCCAACTAACTCCAGACAGAGGAAAAGAACACAGGCTTCCAATCAATCAGTCTAGCTCTGACACCAGCTCACTCAGTGGCTCTAGGCAAAGTGCTCAGGCTTCCTGAGCCTCACTTACTCTCGCTGGTGAATGGGAATGTGCCTGCCTCCTAAGGCTGTGGTGAAGATTGAGGCAAACGCATTTGTGCATATAATGTACAAAGAACACTTACTTGCTAAAGATGATTATTGTCCCTACTATCATGGGGAGAATGTTCTTCAAGAATAACTGAACATTTCTAAATGCTCCAGGGAGAAGAAACACAGGAAGATCCTTTAGATTCAAGCATCTGCAGTGTTCCGGAGAACTCTTGCTTCTACCTCACATCTACGAGAATGTCAAGGTTCTGTCCCTCTCTGGTTTAAGGAACTCATTAAAATGCACATAGAAATGGCTTAGAAAGGAGAGACTGGGAAAAAGCTGAATCCTGATTCATCGCTCATCTAAAAGGCAATTCTGCGTCTCATATCTGCCTGCCCTGGTACCATGTGGTCTTGAGTCTTTCATCTTGGTCATGAGATACGTGGATTGGACCACTGTTCTGGGGACACAGCATTGCTTAGAAGCAGCTAGAGATGGACACTGTATGATCTACATGGCGTCCTTTTGTGGGGCATCTATCTTGACATCTCCTGGTTACAGTTCCTTGGACAAATGGGTCATATGAGAGTCTTGGGGTTTAACTCAAGAGGCATTATATGGTCCACTTATGTTTGAGGCATGCCACCTACTCTAAAATATGAAGGGGAAACCATTCTGATGTGGACAGAACAAAGCAGACACTAGAGGGAACAATTTAGGAACCATGGCTTTTCTAGACTTAAACTCAAAGAGAGACTAAGTTGGGTTATGGACAATTAAGCTCCCAGAAACTTTCTTTCCTTGATCAGTTGAGTGGCAGTGGTCTATGCTGACAACCACCTGGTCCTACATATCATTACATTACATCACACTCACCCAGCAGAGACACCAGTGACAAAGCCCTACCAGCTGCACTGAGGAGCCATAGGACTTCAGGCTAGTCATTGTCCTCATCTGTCATACAACTTAATCACAGTTTGTGGTAACTAAATTAATCAACTCATATAAAGTGTTTAAGACCCTAACTAGACATGTTAACTCAATAAGTGATTATCATCGCCATTCAAAGCTGAGCAAGGGAGTCTGGCAGAAAAAAAAAAAATTATACCCAGTGCTAAGGACTGTCACAAAACATTTGGGATGGACCCATGTGTGGGTGGGGGTGGGGTGGGAGTCACCCTGACCATCTGGATTAAAAACTCAACTCCATTTCTTATTAGCTGTGTGATTTAAGACAAGTTAGTGAAATTTCTAGTTCATTCATCAGTCATACAATCAAAAGGATAAGGAAAATAGTAGACCCTTGCTCATCAGATGATTGAAAGGATTTAATAAGTAGATGCACATAAAGCAAGCACGCATGAAGGATGTGCCTAGATCTGGGAAGTTCTATAATTTTCATCAACTCTGTGTCTTCCTGGGATCTCCTAGAGGTAAGAACCACATGCCAAAGACCCACCCCCACCCCTACATATACACACACTGTTCCCAGACTTTTTTGCAGTGTTACCTGGTGTGCTGACTAGTTTTATGTCAACTTGACACATGCTAGAGTCACTGGAGAGGACGGAGCCTCTACTTTGATTTGAGAAAGTTGAGAAAAATGCCTCCATAAGACTGGGCTGTAGGCAAGCTTGTAGGGTATTTTCTTAACTAGTGATTGATGAGAAAGGGCCCAGCCCATTGTGGGAGGGATCACTCCTGAGTGAGAGGGCCTAGGTTCTATGTGAAAGCAGGCTGAGCAAGGCACGTGGAATAAGCCAGTAAGCAGCACTCCTCCATGGCCTCTGCATCAGCTCCTGTCTCCCGGTTCTGCTCTGTTTAAGGTCCTGTCCTGACTTCAGTCAGTGATGAAAGTGATGTGGAAGTGTGAGCCAAACAAACCCTTTCCTCTCCAAGTTGTTTTTGGTCACGGTGCTTCATCACAGCACTGGTAACCTTTTCTTTGCTTTTTGTTTTTTTGTTTTTTTTTTCTTTTTTTGAGACAGAGTTTCTCTGTGAAGCTCTGGAGCCTTTCCTGGAACTCACTCTGTAGCCTAGGCTGGCCTCAAACTCACAGAGATCCGCCTGCCTCTGCCTCCCCAGTGTTGGGATTAAAGGCGTGCACCACCACCGCCCAGCTTTGGTGACCTTTTCTAGGACACCTGACTCCCGAGACCTCCAGCACTTCCTGCTTTCTGTGCCCCTCAGCCTGTGACTTTGCCTTTTACCCCCCAAAGAAGTCTGAGTGGGAAAGAAGGAGTTGTTATTTACAGGATATTTGCATTCATCCTCTTCTCTTTGTCTTTTTTGCGTTTTAGGGGGAAGTGAACTGGTCTTGTTCCCGTCACAGCCTAACACATATCTCCTTTCATCTTCTCAGATGAGCTCAGAGTTATCATCCTCCTCCTCAGTCAACGATTTCTCCCCTCGATGAACTTATCCACAGTAGAACTTATCCACTGGCTCACAACCTTAAATGCAACTTCCCCTTTGCCACATGCTCCCTCCCCTCCCCTGCCAGGCACTGCTTCCTTTCTCTGCCACCCTTCACAGTGAAATTTGTCAAACACTGGTAAACCCATCTGTCCACCTCTCCACTTGTTAGCCTAAGCCTTTTCAGTAATGGATTAAGAACCACTGTAATTACATCAGCAAAAGTCTTGTTTACAAGTAAGATCAGACTCAGGAGCATGAGGCCTGGGATTTCAACATACTCCTCTGAGTATGTTATGCTTAATACATCTCCAAAGGCTCAAGTATTGGAAGTCTAATCCATAAATTCATATGTTGATGTATAGAGTGGGGAACTTTGGAAGGTAAGGAGGGTGAGATGATGTCCTTACTCTCCCCATGAGGTGTCCTCAGCCATGATGACACAGTAAGAAGGCTCTTACTAGATACAGCCCTGTGTGTGATCTTGATTCCCAAACTCTAGAACTGCAAAGAGGAAACTTCTTTATAAAGTATCCGATTGCAGGCGTTTTGATAAAGGAATACAAAATGGACCACGACAATTCGCAGCAGTCAAAGGAAAGCTTCATCATTTCAACTGTTCCTCCCTCAGCCTTCCTCAAAAGCATCACTCCAACCAGGATCCTAGCTCTTGTCTCTCCCATATCCTCCCTGGAATTAGCAAATACTTTCAGGACTATCTGAAAATGCATTTCAGAGACATTCTCTTCTGGTCGTCCATAAATCTTTTGGGAAGCTTTGTGTGTTGTAGATAAAATATTCCTGCTCTATACCCCAACTTGTCCACACCAAAGTATTTACTCAAGAAATTTGAGTGTATGTTCAATTATGTTCAAGAATATATTTATTATAGCTTTATTTATAACAGTGAAAGAACAGAAATATTAGAGTTCTCAACAAATACAGATTGAATAAATACATTCCAGCACCTGTACAAAATACATTTCTTCACAAAGTGTAAACTATTAGCAGAGGCAATAGCATGAACGACTCACAAAGAAGATGAAAATGCAAACACACAAGAGTACATATTAT